AGGTTTATGATTTTTGTGCTTGTTTTAAAAGTTTATACTTTAATTTCTCCCAAATTATCAACTATTTTTTGAATAACTAGGTACCAAAATAAAGATATTTTTATATTGTTTCTAAAAATGTAATAATATGTGTGGGTCATTGTGACGATGTGTAAATTTTATTCCTTTGGTTATGTGTAGTTTGGACAATGGTTTAGGGATGGTAAGTATGGGAGGTTATGTTTTGTGGGAGTGGCTTGATGTTAGCTAAGTTGCCATAGCAACAGGGGCGGAGCCAACCGCCTCTTCAGAGGCAGCTGTGTTTTAAAAAGTCAGTCAGTGGCCGGAGAGCTACTGAGAAAACACTGAATCTTTTGGTGGAGATTCAGGGAATGTGTCTGTAGCCAGTGTGCTATAGGGAAAAACTGAATCTCTTAGAGATTCAGTGAATCAATTGGTGACCAAAGTGGTTGCAGAGAAGGACCCGGTACAGGGGGTTGTTGATTCTGAATTAAGAATCAAGGTTTGGCTGGGTTTAAGCCTGTTGTGCCAGCTGTGAAACCTTATGAAGTGTTTGCCTGAGTTTACTCATGAAACCTTTCCAATGTAACCATCAAGATTTATGCCTCTTTTGAAGAACAGTTATACATTGTTATACTCCTGTTAAAATAAACTTGTTACTTTTTCCTCAAGCCTTGCCTGATACAGTTTCTTCTAAGTTGAACAGCCTGCAATAATAAAGTCAGCCAGAAACAGTCCCTTTATAAAATAGTTCCTAGGCTGATATTGATCGTTGCCCGGCTTCCCTCATAGATAAGGTGGCAGTGGGTGCTTTACCACGTGCACCTTCACAATTGGTGGTATTCGGTGGCATTAAAACGGTCATCGTCACAGTTGGTGGCAGCAGTTTAATAACGGACCTCCTTCACAGTCATCGATCTCAATTTTTCGATATTCCAATTTAAAGCGAGAATATATGTATAACAGATCTTCAATATTTATTTAATGCTAAGACCATGGGTCTTCTGAAAGCGATATTTAAAAATGCTGTATCTCTGATTCTACTCAACATTTTTTTGTGAAATTTGAACACAATTATAGATTTTATTATGTAGTTTCATTTTTTTTACCCCATGTGATTATCTTTAAAACTTTTTGAAATATTATTTTAAAAACCTGAAAGCAGTGACATCACTGCTCTCTTCCCCCTTTCAGAGCTCTCTTACGTTTGCCTTCTTGCTCCTCCTACTGGGGTATAAAAGGAAGGCATGAAAGCATCTGTAGATCACTCCAAACATAGCTTTCTTATCATGTTTGCTAGCTTGAGTTGCTGTTCTGTAAAGTCCTGTTACCATACATTCAGGCATATAAGACAACTGGGCGTATAAGACGACCCCCAACTTTTCCAGTTAAAATATAGAGTTTGGGATATACTCGCCATATAAGACTACTCCTCTTCCAACACACACCAAATAAATATTTTAAAAGCATCAGATTTGATTTCAATATGGTAATTTTTCTATTACTCTACCTCCTCCTCTGCCTCTCAGATCTCGCACATGCGCACCTGCATCACTTCACTGCAGTCTTCAGGAGCGAGATCTGAGAGGCAGAGGAGGAGGTACGGTAATAGGATACAAGGGCGGGCCAGACAGGTAAAAGAGTTGTGTTTTTCTGGGCCCAGAGCCACTCTATCTCTTTTTTCCATACCCCGGGCACCCCGAGTGCCTTCACTTACACCTTCCCAGTGAGGTGCCCCTTCACCTCACCAATGGGACCGCATTAAGTCCATGAATCCTGATGAATGGATTTTCTTCTACCGTAATTGTACAGCGTCACCCTCAATGCTTTCATACAGTCACTGCATATGGCAGGGACGCGGCCACTGCCATTTTTGAGCTCCCCCCCACCATATGCCGCAACCACAGATTCTCCAATCCGGATTGGAAGTTTCAGCACCTGCTCTATAAGATGACTCCCAGTGTATAAGACTACTCCCACATATAAGATGACTCCTATGCATAAGGCTTTACTCCAGCATATAAGACTACCCCTGAGTATAAGACTACTTCCGTGTATAAGATGACCCCCATATATAAGACAACCCCTGACTTTTGAGAAGATTTTCTTGGGTTAAAAAGAAGTCTTATACTGTAGTTGCAGTTAGTGTTTCCTTTCATCCACCTGACTGCAGAAGATGCCTAAACGTCTATCAAAGCAACTGAACATTTTTGAGTTCAGGGCAAAAGAGTAAAAAACAAATATTGGAGACCAAGACCATTGCAGCACCGGTACTGATGAAGCTCCCAGAACATGCACACCTGGTGAAAACTGAGGAAACTGAGGGGTTACCACTGGTACAACTAAGCCAAGCTTTCTACATCCACTGCAGCGCTCACTCACAAAATCTAGCTTTAGCAAAGGCTTGCAGCATTCCATGTGTAAGAAATTGCCAAGGAAAAATATCATCTGTGTGCAATTTATTTAGAGAATCATCCTTCAGACTTGAACTATTAAAGAAAAATATAAAAGACTGCTTCCCTGAATCAAGAGTGAGCAACCTGTTGCTGCTTTGTGAAACCCGTAGGGTTGAGCTACATGATGCAGTTTTATGTTTTGTTGAACCGGTGATAGTGAGAACACTTCATCCTTTCACAGTTATGAATAATAAAGAGTAGGGCTGGGCGGTTTCATTTTGTTAATTCGTAATTCGTTAAAAATTCGTTATTTTTCTTTATAACGAAGCGATAACGAACCATTCTGGAGCAACTTAAAAACGAAACGAATTTTTAAATTCGTTTCGTAAATGCTTCGGATTCATTATGTATTCGTTTCGTTATTGGTTTGAGGTCGTTTTGTTATTATTTCCGCATGTCTGGGGCAAGTTTTAGAGTTGTTTTTTGTTTAATTAGTGAAAAGAAAATTATAATATCACACCAACAGTCAACAACAGAGGGAGAGGGAAGCTTCAGAAGTTCCCCCTGTCCCATTTGGAGGTTTTTTACCGTATTGCGCGGTCGCGTCCGCCATTAACGAATCGATTCGTTATTGTTTCGTATTTGTTTCGTTAATGTTTTGTAATTTTTTTTACATTTACGAAATTTCGTAAATATCGAACTTTTTAAAAGAAAAATTTCGGAATTCTTTTAAATATCAAAACGCAAAAACCCCCAAAAATGAATCGATTTTAGAAACAAATTTTTCCGTTGTTACCCAGGCCTAATAAAGAGCAGTGGAACAAGAAGATGGGAGTGAACGGGGCATGCACACTGACATTGCATCTATTGCACAATGCCATGCACATCCCACTGCCAGTGTACCTCCTCCCTTCAAGTAACCCATCCTGCATTATTGACAGGCAAAACCTATCAACAGCTAGCTATCCTGCCTTGGAATTGGTGTGCCAACAGCGAAGTCATATCAAAGGTTGGGACCTCTCCCCCACCATCACATTTCCATACTATCTATAACTGTTCAGACTGTATTTCAAAAGCGTTACTCTTACTATTAATGTTACTTAAGACTAGTAGTATGTTTGTGCCTATTAATGACATTTTCCCCTTCTGGCAGCTTCATGTATCCCTTCCCACCTCACCCCTCAGTCATGCATGAATTATTCCTAATAGTATATCTGAATCTAGCCTCCCGATAAATGAGAAATTGAATAAAATAATGATCCTGCTATATGAATTTGGGAAAGGGTAACAATGGCCCCACCTACATTGCCATATAATGCAGTTTGAACTGCATCCCATGGTCAGTGTAGTGTCTTATAATGCAGATTGAACTGGATTATATCAGTATGCACTTTGCATACAATACAGCTCAATGCAGTTAATCTGCATTCTGAAACTGCATTATATGGCAGTGTAGATGGAGCCAAGATGGTTCTCTGAAGCTTCTCACCTTTCTATCCTCCACGTTCCTAACAACAGTGCTTTGATAGCATTTTTCAAAGTAATGTTGTAAACAAACATTAGTATAATGTTGTTAGATTATTAGTAATCAACGTCACAAAAATATTAGTTGTTTTGGTACTGTACCATTATCTAGGCGGAGGCCACTAGGGGGTGCTACAGAGAGAAGGATAGTCCATTTTATGGGGGGGGGGGGGTTGAAGGAGGAAAATCATATCACCTGTTGTAAACAAATGTTTGTATTATGTTGTTAGATTATTAGTAATCAACGTCACAAAAATATTAGTTGTTTTGGTACTGTACCATTATCCAAGCGGAGGCCACTAGGGGGTGCTAGAGAGAGAAGGATAGTCCATTTTATGGGAGGGGGGAGTTGAAGGAGGAAAACCATATCACCTGTTGTAAACAAATGTTTGTATAATGTTGTTAGATGATTAATAATCGACGTCACAAAAATATTAGTTGCTTTGGTATTGTATCATTATCCGGGCGGAGGCCACTAGGGGGTGCTAGAGAGAGAAGGATAGTCCATTTTATGGGAGGGGGGAGTTGAAGGAGGAAAACCATATCACCCGTTTTCATAGGTAATTCCCCCTCCCCCTTCCTATATCATAAACAAGGGTTGTTTCCATGATGGCGACATGGGTAGGGGGAATAATAGGAAAACAGGGGGAAAAGGTTTACTCATTTCACCCCCCCCCCCCCCCAGTATCCTTCTCTGTCTAGTCACCCCCTTTGGCCTCCATCCGGATAATGGAACAGTGCCGTTGTGTTCAAGTAAATTTAACATATTTCTTGATAGTCTGAAGTAAAAGCTGGTAGAAACTCTATGTACAATAATAAACAAGATAAAATGAAAACATTTGCTTAAGTGTTTCCCCAATTCCAATATTGGTGAGAAATAAACATTGCACATACTTATTCCATTACTAATGCCTGCAGAACTTGTTAGTCCACTCTCTGATAACTGAAATGAAAATGTTGGTTAGATTGCCGGGAAGATGGTATTTTGGTATAAATGGTACCAGGAAATAACTCCTTTTAAAAATCCCACTGTGCTTTATCTCGGCAGAAACGCCCCACTTCAGTTGCACTTGGTGTAACTTCCTCTCATTCAGCCACAAAACAAGCAGCGTTGCAGCACACCAGAGAAGTGATGCCCAAGCTTTCTGGGAAAGCTGCACCCAGGGAAAACTGATCAGGTAAGGAAGCATGGGAGCGCACATTTGCAGATGTGGAAGGATATTATACAGATCTAAAGTAATTCTGTTAGGATTGATGTTTGGGAAAATGCAAAAAATCAGGGTAGTACTTGAGTGTTGTATTTTCAACGATGAACACGGCACGAGCACATTCTTCTAACAGGGTTTTTTGCTGCAAGACGTTGAAATTGCAGTTTTATAAACACTTCTCCATGGAGTACATTCCACTGAATTCACACACAGTAATTTGATATAATTAATGCTGTGCTTAAGAAGAGGAGATGGATTGCAAATGCATTGCAGTAGTTTTGTGTCTTTTCCTAACAGAGTAAAACTAACTTTGATGGTGCTATGTAAGAGTAGAACTTGTTTGAGTTTTCTAGTTGTTTTTTTTAGCTTCTAGGTTTTAAAAAAAACATAGCATGCTCCAGGATATTTGCTATTTGTAGATTTTGGATGCTCTTTTTAATACAGTTTTTTTAAAAAATGGAAAAACACACACTAAGCAGTGTTTCTCATCCTTCCCAATGCTGCGACCCCTTAATACAGTTCCTCATGCTGTGGTAACCCCCAACCTTCACATTATGTTTATTGGGTTGTTGTAGGTTTTTTCGGGCTATATGGCCGTGGTCCGAGGTAGTGAGGATGCTTGCCATAGATGCAGGTGAAACGTCAGGAGAGAATGCCTCTAGACCATGGCCATATAGCCCGAAAAAACCTACAACAACCCAGTGATTCCGGCCATGAAAGCCTTCGACAATACATTATGTTTATTGCTACTTCACAACTGTAATTTTGCTACTGTTATGAATCGTAATGTAAATATCCGATATGAAGGATGTATTTTCATTCATTGGACCAAATTTGGCACAGATACTCAATACACCCAAATTTGGTGGGGTTGGGAGGAGATTGATTTTGTCATTTGAGAGTCATAGTTGCTGGAATTTATAGTTAACCTTCAATCAAAAGAGTATTCTGAACTCCATCAACGATGGAATTGAACCAAACTTGGCACACAATTCCCATGCCCAACAGAAAATACTGTAAGAGTTTCATGGGCATTGAGTTTTGGAGTTGTAGTTCACCTACATCCAGAGAGCTCTGTGGACTCAAGCAATGATGGATCTGGACCAAACATGGCATTAATACTCATTATGCCCAAATGTGAAGACTGGTAGAGTTTGGGGAAAATTGACCTTGACATTTGGGAGTTGTAGTTGCTGGGATTTATAGTCTACTGACAATCAAAGAACATTCAATCAACGATAGAATTGGGCTCAACTTCCCACACAGAACCCCAACAACCAACAGAAAATGCTGTGTTTTGTGATGGTCTTTGGTGACCCCTCTGACACCCCCCTCGTGACCCCCTGAGGGGTCCCGACCGCCAGATTGAGAAACACTGTACTAATGAAATGTTTTCACATACTTCAGGCTTTATATCATCAAAAGTAACATTGATTCATTCTTAACGATTGTCAAAGTAATTGTGGGTAACTTATATCTCACTAATCATGGATTTTGGCTTTATGAAAAGCTCTCTGCAAATCTAAGTAGTTAAGGTACTGGTCCATTATTCAGGTGGAGGCCTTTAGGGAGCGCTAGATGATGATACTTTAATTATAACCTGCTCTCTCTCCTCGAAGGGACTTAGGGCAGTTTCCAAAAAATAACAAAAATGGCAAACATTCAATAAGGAGAGAAGGATAGTCAATTTTATGGGAGGGGGAGTTGAAAAACAATTTATCTCGTTTTTGCTGATTATTCCCCCTTCCCTCTCCCCATTTCATAAAAAGGGTTGTTTTCACAATGGGGAACATGGCTGGGGGGCAGGGGGGATAACAGGAAAACAGGAGGGAATGGTTTTACTCCTTCAACCCACCCTCCACCCCCATAAATTGGACAATCCTTCTCTTTCTAGCGCTCCCTGGTGGCCTTCACCTGGATAATGGATCAGTACTGAAGAATAGGTTGCTGTGTTTTCTAGGCTGTATGGCCATGTTCCAGAAGCATCATCTCCTGACATTTCACAATGGGGACATTTCATGCCGGGGACATGGTTTTTTTTGGGGGGGGGGTGGGAGGATAACAGGAAAACAGGAGGGAATAGTTTTACTTCTTCAACCCACCCTCCACCCCTATAAATTGGACAATCCTTCTCTCTCTAGCGCCCCCTGGATAATGGAACAGTACCGAAGAATAGGTTGCTGTGTTTTCTGGGCTGTATGGCCATGTTCCAGGAGCATTCTCTCCTGACATTTCACAATGGGGGACATTTCATGACGGGGACATGGCTGGGGGGCAGGATACTAGGAAAACAGGAGGAAATGGTTTTACTCCTTCGATCTACCCTCCACCCCCATACATTGGACAATCCTTCTCTCTCTAGCTCCCCCTGGTGGCCTTCACCCAGATAATGGAACAGTACCGAAGAATAGGTTGCTGTGTTTTCTGGGCTGTATGGCCATATTCCAGAAGCATTCTCTCCTGACATTTCACAATGGGGACATTTCATGATGGGGCATGGCTAGGGGGGAGGGAATAACAGGAAAACAGGAGGAAATGGTTTTACTCCTTCAACGTACCCTCCAACCACATAAACTCGACAATCCTTCTCTTTCTAGCGCTCCCTGGTGGCCTTCACCTGGATAATGGATCATTACTGAAGAATAGGTTGCTGTGAGTTTTCTGGGCTGTATGGCCATGTTCCAGAAGCATTCTCTCCTGACATTTCACAACAGGAACATTTCATGACGGGGACATGGCTGAGGGGAGGGGGATAACAGAAAAACAGGAGGAAATGGTTTTATTTCGTCAACCTACTCTCCACCCCCATAAATTGGTCAATCCTTCTCTCTCTAGCGCCCCCTGGTGGCCTTCATTCTCTCCTGACATTTCACAAGGGGGACATTTCATGATGCAGACATGACTGAGGGGGAGGGAATAACAGGAAAACAGGAGGAAATGGTTTTACTCCTTCAACCCACCCTCCACCCCAAAAATTGGACAATCCTTCTCTCTCTAGTGTCCCCTGGTGGCCTTCACCCAGATAATGGAACCGTACCGAAGAATAGGTTGCTGTGAGTTTTCTGGGCTGTATGGCCATGTTCCAGAAGCATTCTCTCCTGACATTTCACAACGGGGACATTTCATGACAGGGAAATGGCTGGGCGCGGGGAATAATAGGAAAACAGGAGGAAATGGTTTTACTCCTTCAACCTACCCTCCAACCACATTAAATGGACTATCCTTCTCTCTCTAGTGCCTCCTAGTGGCCTCTGCCTGGATAATGGAACAGTACTATAGTGAATGTCTACCAGATTACTTTTATTCACTTTTGTTGTTGTCATGTGTCTTAAAGTCAATTCTGACTTATAGCAACCCGAAGCTGAACCTATCATGGGGTTTTCTTGGCAGGATGTATGCGGAGGGGGTTTGTTTTTGCCTTCCTCTGAGGCTGAGAGATTGTGACTTGCCCAAGGCTTTCCATGACTTAGTCAGTATCTGAACTCTTACCTCTAAAGTTGTGATTCAGTGTTTTTTTTTTTAAATGGCATGGTCCAAGACATCTGTAAAATTTAGATGTTCTTTAATATTTTATTTAAAAAACCTTGGGTGGGTGGTGTGGGGGGGATGATGTCACAGAAATGTAACGTTTCAGGTTTCTTGTCATCGGAAATCTTATTTATTTATTCTTCTAGATTGTCAGAGCAATCATGGGTAATTTCATCTACCTGATTTCAAAGGGTTCGCACTATGTGTGACTAAAGTCTTTTATTGTAAGCATCTTTCAGCACACAGACTAATCTAAGTTCAATTACTGGGGTTGAAGCAATAACACTTGTGCATCAGTTGTGCCTGTACCTTGAAAAGCCAGACTTGGCCACGGTGGTCCACACTCTTGTTACACCCCAAATAGACTACTGCAATGTGCTCTATGTGGGGTTGCCTTTGAAGACTGTTCAGAAGCTTCAAGTGGACCAGCAGGCGGCAGCCAGATTTCTCACCAGAGTGGCATACAGGGAGCATACAACCTCCCTTTTATGCCAGCTTCATTGGCTACCTGTCGGCCACACCACACAATTCAAAGTGCTGGTTTCGGCCTAAACTGTTCTAACCCAGCTTATCTGTCTGAACATCTTCCTCTATGAATCATCTTGGTGGTTATGATAATCTGGGGAGGCCCTGCTCTCGGTCCCACATCCTCTGCAAGCGCAGTTGGTGGAGACGAGAGACAGGGCCTTCTCAGTGGTGACCCCTCAGCTGTGGAACCCCCTCTCCTGTGAAATTAGGTCAGCCCCCTCCCTCCTGATCTTCTGAAAGGAAGTAAAAACATGGTGCTGGGACCAAGCCTTTGGTCAATAGTGCAGTGAAATAAGTGATGATGGAAAATGTGCAATAATGACTGTAATGGCTTTTGACTATGACTTTGGAGCCCCCGGTGGCGCAGTGGGTTAAACCCTTGTGCGGGCAGGTCTGAAGACTGACAGGTTTCAGGTTTGAATCCGGGGATGAGCTCCCTCTATCAGCTCCAACTCCTCATGCAGGGACATGAGAGAAGCCTCCCATAAGGATGGTAACACATCAAAACATCCGGGCGTCCCCTGGGCAATGTCCTTGCAGACAGCCAATTCTCTCACACCAGAAGCAACTTGCAGTTTCTCAAGTCACTTCTGACATGACAAAAAATACTATGACTTTGGATTGCATGGTTTTAATAATGGGTTTTAATGTTTATATTGCTTTTTAATTTTATGTTTTAATGTATATGTTTATTTTATCATATGTCTGTTGATATGGCATCAAATTGCTGCCAATTGTAAGACCGCTCAAAGTTCCCTTTGGGGTGAGAAGGGTGGGATAGAAATGCAGTATATAAAATAATTCTTATTATAATTATAGAGAGATTATGTAGGTTTGGTCTTGAGTTGAATTTGTATGTAAGTCAGACCAGGTACTTTTAAAAGTGTAAATCCAGCCATACACACACACACACACACACACACACACACAACCACACACATATATTTATCTTGGATAGCAGAGGGAAGGGTTAACATCCCAGTGGTGTTTGTTTTGCTGTCTGTGCCCCAATTCAGAATATTTCACCTCACTGTCCTGTAACAATTTGATTTAGAAGAATTTGTCTTGTTGGGGAAACGAGGAGTGATGATAAAGCTTCAGTGGATAGATACATCTTTTCCCTATGATTACTCTTCCAAGGGGAATTTCTGTAGGGTTGTTGTAGGTTTTTTCGGGCTATATGGCCATGTTCTAGAGGCATTCTTTCCTGACATTTCGCTTGCCATAGATGCAGGCAAAACGTCAGGAAAGAATGCCTCTAGAACATGGCCATATAGCCCGAAAAAACCTACAACAACCCAGTGATTCCGGCCATGAAAGCCTTCAACAATACATGGAATTCCTGTTGTCTCACCCCCGTTCTTAACTAAGAGTTGTATGTAAATCAAATGTTTGTAACTCAAGGTCCGCCTGTGTTTGGTTTTCATAGTTAACATTCCCGAGTACAGGAAGGCGGCCAGGTCACGCCACAGGAACTGTGGCTTATCAGGAAAATACCTGTTTCCTCTTGGGAAACATTGGCAGAGAGCCTTTCATGGGAGAAATATGTCAAGAGGAAGGCGCGTCAATCCAACTCTTGTCAGGACCGCCTTCCACCTCGAAACCGATGTCCTTACAGCAGAAGAACATGTAGATCAAGAATAGGTCTCTACAGTCACCTACGGACCCACCATCAACACCCTACACTTGGAAGGCAATCATACATGCCCCACAAGGGATTGGCTAAGTAAGTAAAGCATAGCCTGTCAATTTCTGGATGTGTTGGACTACAAATCCCACCATCTACAATCAGCAATTGAATTGTACAGTTTGAAGTCCCAGGCATTTCAAAACTGGCTGGGAAAGGCCAGCGTATTTATGGCTTTTCCTCCATCCCTGGGTATGTAAGGGCAGGTGAATGGCAGTTCCACCTCCCAGCCATTGATCGTCTGTAGGAGTGAACCTTGAGGTCATCCTTGTGCAGCCAGCTAAGAAGAACAATGGCTGCACCCAGGCATGTAGCCGGGGGGGGGGGGGGGGGGGCTTGAGGGGCTTCAGCCCCCTCTGAAATTCTCATGGTGGTTCGCGAAAAGGCCTTACTGTTGCATTATTTAAACTGTTATGTTTATTCATATCATGATCTGATCACCCTACTCAATATATCCCATATGCATGGGGGTATTGGGGTAACGATACAAAAGGTTTGCTAGGGTAGACCCTCTTTCACTCGGACTCAGCCCCCCAAACAAACTCAGCCCCCCCCCCCCCCCCCCGAATCGAAATCCTGGCTATGGGCCTGCCTGCACCTTCTCCTTTTGCATACTCCTGTAGCCAAGCAATAGCTAGGGCCTGGTCTGAGAAGCATCTGGGAACTCTTGTCACTTTGCACAGATGCAATCCATCTACTTCCATAATAGTGATATTGTCATGAATAAGGATTTTTACCAGCTTCTTAACACATCACCAGGATTCTGGCTGTAGGTTTAAAAAGCCACAGTGTGAGAGATTTATACAAGAAAAGAAAATATGAAATAATACATTTGCTTAAAAAATGAGGATTCAAAATACAAGGGCCGTAATGAGATACACGCCACAGGAAAATCATAGTGGGGTAAGGGACATCCTATTCCTCAACATGTGGTGGAAGCGCCTTCTTTGGAGGCTTTTAAACAGAGGCTGGGTGGCCATCTGTCAGTGGTGCTTTGATTGTGCTTTTCCTGCATGGCAGGAGGATGGACTATTTGGCCCATGTGGTCTCTTCCAACTCTATTCTGTGATGTTATTGTTGGACATCAGCTATTGCCTTTCTCTGAAGCTAAGACTTGCCCAAAGTCGCTCTGAGAGTTTCTGTGATGGAGCAGGGATGGTGTCCTAGTCCAACATTCATGCAAAAAGTTTGTTTACTTTTGCTATGACCTACTTTATAGAAGAAACAAAATGTTTATTTCTTTTAAAATAAATAAAATGCCATTGTTTATTTTTATTTTTTTTGTGTAGGTTTGGTAGCAACAAAACACCAGAAAAATGTTATTCTGGCAGATGACAATATTTTGGAGCCTCACAATGGCCAGAAGGTCTTTGCAGAGTTCCCTGGACTTCCGTTTTGGCTCACTCTCTCATTCATCTGTGAGTAACTTTCATTTTATGTACAGGGAGGCTTAAAAGTGTATACGACTTTAACTACTTATAATTCAAGAAGTTATTTTCACCTATTGTTTTCCAAATGTGCCAGGAGTAATGGTTCCAATAATGTATTTATTTACTATATTTGTATACCACCCTTCTCAGCTCTTAGGCGATTCAGGGCGGTTTACAAATATAGTGAAGTGTTACAAAATCACAAGAAAAACTCTTGGGAATCAAGAGCTGTTAGGCTCAAAAATAACCCTCACTTGGAGGTGATTCCACAAAATATAGTAGCGTGCCAGATGCACAGTTCATAAGCAGCAGAAACTTACATGTAGTGCGCAAGGATTGGCTTCCATTCACCAGAATAGAACAGGATTGCAAAGCCACAACTTCATAGGATCAAAAATAATATGTTTATTAAAGATGAAAGAAATCCATTCTTGATAGGAACTGTTCTTGGAGTTAACTAGCTTCACTGAGGTATCTTCTAAGGCAGTGTTTCTCAACCTTCCTAATGCCACGACCCGTTAATACAGTTCTTCATGCGGTGGTGACCCCCAACCATAAAATTATTTTTTTTTGCTATTTCATAACTATAATTTTGCTACCGTTATGAATCGTAATGTAAATATATGATCTGCAGGATGTATTTTCATTCACCAAATTTGGCACAAATACCCGATACACCCAAATTTGAATACTGGTGGGGTTGGGGGGGGGGTTGATTTTGTCATTTAGGAGTTGTAGTTGCTGGGATTTGTAGTTCACCTACTATCAAAAAGCATTCTGAACTCCGCTAACAATGGAATTGAACCAGACTTGGCACATAGAACTCCCACGAGCAACAGAAAATGCTGGAACGGTTTGGTGGGCATTGACCTTGAGTTTTGGAGCTGTAGTTCACCTACATCCAGAGAGCACTGTGGACTCAAACAATAATCAATCTGGACCAAACTTGGCATGAACACTCAATATGTTCAAATGTGAACTCTGGTGGAGTTTGGGGGGAAATAAACCTTGATATTTGGGAGTTGTAGTTCATTTATTTATTTATTTATTTATTTACAGATTTTATATTCCGCCCTTCTTACCCCGCAGGGGACTCTGGGCGGATTACAGAGTACACATATATGGCAAACATTCAATGCCATTTTTTGACATGCAAACATATACAGACATACAAAGAGGCTATTTAACTTTTTCTGGCCAAAAGGGGAACTGTCGTTTTCATCGTCCATCAGCGATGCTGATGAAGCACTTCCGCATTCCCCGCATGCTTCCCCGCTGGAATGCTTTGCTGGAGTCTTCTTTATGGCCTCATAAATCAGTTAATTTAGCCTTCTCACACTTTTAAGGTGGTACCTAATTTTCCTACTTGACAGATGCAACTGTCTTTCGGGTTGCAAAGGTCAACAACAGGCTACACACAATTGGTTGGAAACCCACTCCAACCCGGGCTGGCTTCGAACTCATGACCTTTTGGTCAGAGTGATCTTAATGCAGCTGACACTCAGCCAGCTGCGCCACAATCCCGGGGATTGCTGGGATTTATAGTTCACCTTCAATCAAAGAGCATTCTGAACCCCATCAACGATAGAATTGGGCCAAACTTCCCACACAGAACCCCCATAACCAATAGAAAACGTTGTATATTCCAATGGTCTTCTGACACCCCCTCGCGACCCCACCCTAGGGGTCCCGGTCTCAGGTTGAGAAACACTGTTCTAAGGAAAGGAAAAAGGAAACATAATAAAAATAGTTATATCTACTACATCTTGCCTGGACAATGGCAAGATGCCTCTTCACTCTAGAGAAGACAAAAGAAGAAGGGCAGGCCAATATGGAGAACTGGCCACATGGCCTCACCAGGGCAACAAAAATACCTTTAAAGAGGAAGTTATATTTTCCCTGAAGAGATCACATTGCTAAGTATTCAAAGGGGAAGGAGACAGTGGCATGCAAGATGAGTAAGAAAATCCCCCTTCTAAGCCCCTTCTTAAGATAGGCATGCTTGAGGAAATTGGGGAGGGAATCCCTCACTCTAATCTATCAAGGCTACCTACTCCTTGAGGGCTACAGACTTGTGCAGTCAGGGATGAAACCCAACAGAAACATTAAGTAAAGTTTGCACTAGCAGCAGCCTATTGCTTGGCAGCACCTGGCATAAAGTTGTATTTTACGGTAGAAATTGTTACTCTTCCCCTTTTTTTATTCATCTTAAATATTTTTGGTGAAATATCTTTCTTTCAGATTCACAGTAAAGTTAGCAGAGGAGAACAGAGCAGAGAAGAAGAGTTCTACAGGCAGAAAAGACAAGGTATGTTGGAAGCTCCTAACAGTATATTTTTACTTGCAAGTGGAAGCTCTTCTTACACCCCTTCTACACTTACATATAATCCAGATTATCAAAGCAGATAATCAACATTATTATTTGAACTGGATTATATGCATCTACACTGCCATATAATCCAGTTCAAAGCAAACATTCTGGATTTTTTTATGGCAGTGTAGAAGGGGCCTTAGTTGCACAGCCATTTGATTTCTAATAGCAAATGGTTGATTTGAATCATGGGCATGAGTAGTAGTCACTGCCTTCTTTATCAGAAGGTTGATAATGGGAACAGGTTGAGCATCCCTTATCTAGAAGTCGGAAATCCAGAATGGTCCAAAATCTTCCTCAAGGGTGGCTGAGAGAGGCCCTTTCCACATAGCTGAATAAAATCCCACATTATCTGCTTTGAACTGGGATATATGGCAGTGTGGACTCAAATAACCCAGTTCAAAGCAGATATTGTGGGATTTTCTGCCTTGATATTCTGGGTTATGTGGCTGTGGGCAGGGCTCTGAGTTATACCTTTGTTTTCTGGTGCTTTAGTACAGGCAGACTTTGTTTCATGAACACCATTATTCAAATTATTTTAGATACGATTACCTCCAGGTTATATACCCAAGGTATGTAAAAAGACTTGGGTCCCCATTCCAAAGTCCCTTATTATATATATGCAGATATTCTGCAACATGAAAAGAATCTGAAATATGGAATATGTCTAACCCCAAGTATTTTGGATAAAGGATGTTCAACCTGTACAGTGTTCCCTCACTTATTGCGGGCATTACGTTCCACGACCTCCCGCAAAACGTGAAAAACCATGATGTAGGGATGCTATATTTATTTGCATATTTATGCATTATTTTAATAGTTATACACTATTTTAAGTTTTTATAAACTTAAAATAACGTGAAGAAAAGGAAGGAAAGGCCCTTCAAGGCTGGAGGGAGGGAGGACTGAGGAGGGAAAGCGCCTTGGAGAGCGGCGGTGACAAAAACCCCCGAAACAGAAAAAATACTGTGATATATGATGGGTATTTTTTAAGTAAGGTCCGTTTGAACATAAGTACACAATGAAAGTTTATTTCAAAAAAGTAAATTTATTTTCAGAAAGTACATACTTCACTCTATTTTTAGACATAGTTGCCAAGTTTGTTCAAACACTTATCATACCTCTGATCCAATTTTAAAATACCCTCTTCATAAAAACTTGCCACCACCAAAAGCCACCAAATCGTCTGCAATCCAAGAAGGGCGACCGGAGCGGTCCTCATCATGGACATTGTCACGGCCATCTTTGAATTGTCATACCTACTTACGCACTTTGCTTTCACTCATAACAGTATCACTGTACACTTCACAAATCTGTCAATGAATTTCTGCAGCAGGCAGGTTCCTTGCTGACAAAAACCGTATAACTGAGCGAACCTCACATGTGGCGGGTGAGTTGATAGTCTTAAATATTTTTAAAGCACAGAAAAGAACCGTAGAGGCTAGCTACAGCGTGGAAACTGAGCACAGTTGTTCCCGAGGCATGCCGGTACACAATGCACACGCTTGTTGCGGTATGTGCACGAACTACTAGTGTCTACAACAAAATGGACCTTACTTAAAAAATACCCCTCGTATATTTTAAATTAATTTTTAAAAAATCCGCAAAACAGCGAGTCCACTAAAAGCGAACCACAAAGTAGTGAGGGAACACTGTGTTATGCAATTCAAGTAGAGATGAGGAAGCTGCTGGGATGACACACAAGTTCCAGCCTGTTGTGGCTCTTTGAAAGTACGGTTTTGTTCCTTTTAGATCAGGGGTCCTCAAACTAAGGCCCGCGGGCCGGATACGGCCCTCCAAGGTCATTTCCCCAGCCCTCACTCAGGGTCAATCTAAGTCTGAAAGGACTTGAAAGCACACAATAACAACAGCAATCCTATCTTATCAGCCAAAGGCAGGCCCACACTTCCCATTGTTTATATTAATAAGTTTATATTTGTTAAAATTGTTCTTCATTTTAATTATTGTATTGTTTTAAAGTGTTTTTTGCACTACAAATAAGATATGTGCAGTGTGCATAAGAATTCATTCATGGTTTTTTTTCCCCAAATTATATTCTGGCCCTTCAACGGTTTGAGGGACTGTGATCTGGCCCTCTTTTTAAAAAGTTTGAGGACCCCCTGATTTAGATTTTTACTGCGGGGAAAACAATGCAACTGGAGCAAGCAAAAAGACAGGTTTGATTAGATCTTTAGCACCATCCCTTACGAGTGGTTCTCAACCTGAGGGTCCCCAGATGTATTGGTTTTCAACTTCCAAAAATCCTAACAGCTGGTTTTTTTGTCGTGTCAGGAGCGACTTGAGAAACTGCAAGTTGCTTCTGGTGTGAGAGAATTGGCCGTCAGCAAGGACGTTGCCCAGGAGACGCCTGGATGATTTGATGTTTTTATCATCCTTGTGGGAGGCTTCTCTTATGTCCCCGCATGAGGAGCTGGAGCTGATAGAGGGAGCTCATCCGCCTCTCCCTGGATTCGAACCTGCGACCTGTTGGTCTCCAGTCCTGCCGGCACAGGGGTTTAACCCACTGCGCCACCGGGGGCTCCCTAACAGCTGGTAAACTTGCTGGGATTCTGGGAGTTGTAGGTCAAAACATCAGGGAACCCAGAGGTTAAGAACCACTGAGGGATGACTTCATGTTGAAAATGAGATATAACATTTTCCGCATTCCCCAGTAATTCAGTCCAAGAAATCTGATTTTCATTCTGTGTGAGATAGGGTCGAAATTGAAACAGATGTCCTGAGAGCCAAAGATCAGAGGCCATCAAAAATATATTTAGGATTGCTGGAGTAAAAAACAAAGAAGGCTCCTGTACCTTGAATGGTTGTGTAAAAGAGGAACTTTCAGTGGACATTTCTTATCACGCAACCTACTGGTCAAAGGACATTTAATAGAATACCAAGTCTGTAAACTTTGTGTTTTGTTGGTTGGTTGGTTGGTTGGTTGGTTGGTTGGTTTGTTTTTAATGCAATACAACTGTTTTGGTTTGCTCCTGACACGATAAATAAATAAATCATGCACCAGATAGTAAGAAGCTCCTGCTGAAATTCTCTCTTCTACACAACCATTCAAAATACAGATCCCTTCTACACTGCCATATAAAATTCAGATTATTGTCTTTGAACTGGATTATCTGACAGTGTAGACTCATATAATCCAGTTCAAAGCAGATAATGTGGATAATCTGCTTTGATAATCTGGATCATATGGCAGTGTAGGATGGGCCACAGGAACCCTTTCCAGTTTTTAATCCGGGGAATATTCATTTTCTCCTTGGACAAAGAGACGGTGGGGCTGGTCTATAAATATATTATCATACAAAGCTTCCTAATTCCTGATTCTAGGGCTGGTTTGTATGTACACACAGAAATGGCAGGTCTGAAAGAAACTGAAAGCCCTTGGCTGATTGTCATATGTCCTAACATGCCACTATTTTTCAGCTGTTGCTTTGGATAGTTCAACTGAAGAACATACTTTTGTGATTGAGATAAGCTTTACAGATTCCTCACTTCAGGAGACACTCCGGAGTTATTTAAACAACCTTAACTTTCCACTCTTGGTAAATGTGTCTGATTCAGCCATGAAGATAACAAGTATTAATGTTACCACAGGTGGGTCATCTACTACTACAAGCTTTATTTGCTTTAGTTGTTGTTTTGTTTATAAAAACAGAAATTCCCGAATCAAGCAAAGGAGTCCCAACAAGATGATATAGGACACTCTTTCAATTGTATTTCCTCGCAGGCATTCTTCATGTGTATGCTGCTTAGTTTTTGTGGCCTGGACACAGAGGCCCCTTCTACACTGCCTTATGTCGTGGGATATAATCTTAGGGCCCTTCCACACAGCTCTATATCCGAAAATATAATGGCAGGAAATCCTACATTATTTGAGTGTGGACTAAGATAACCCAGTTCAAAGCTGATATTGTGTGATTTTTGGCCTTGTTATTCTGGGATATAGGGCTTGTTGATCATTTCTGCTACCTTGGCAGCCACCTCTCCACAAAAGTCAACATTGACACTGAAATTCAACACCTCCTGAGCTCTGCGAGTGCAGCATTTTTCCGAATGAAGCAGAGAGTGTTTGAGGACTGGGACATCCGTAGGGTTATCAAGGTGCTTGTTTATAAAGCTATTGTCCCCCCAACCCTGCTATACGCCTGCGAGACGTGGACTGTCTACGGACGTCACATGCAACTCCTGGAACGATTCCATCAGCACTGCCTCTGGAAAATCCTGCAAATCTCTTGGGAAGACAAGCGGACAAGCGTCAGCATGCGGGAAGAAGCAAAGACCACCAGCATCGAAGCGATGGTCCTCTGCTATCAACTCTGCTGGACCAGCCAAGTTGTCCGGATGCCCGACCACCATCTCCCGTATTGTAATTTTGAGAAATTCTTTGTGTCAGTAGGTCCATATTCATTATGTCCAGGACTTTCAGTGTCCACTCTTCTATTGTGGGAATTTCCTGAGATTTCCACAGCTGAGCCAGCTTGATTTTTGCTGTTGTTATTATTAGGTAGAAGAAGATCTTGTTCTAGTTATTGTCCATAACAAAGTCGGTGATGCCTAGCAAAAACTGTTCCGGTTTAAGTTCAAATTTTAAGTTTAAAAGCCAACCTTAAAAACTGTGGCATAGACACTGAGAACTGGGAAGCCCTGGCCCTTGAGCACTCCAGCTGGAGGTCAGCTGTGGCTAGCAGTGCTGTAGAATTCAAAGAGGCAGGAATGGAGGGCGAAAGAGAGAAACGTGCCAAGAGGAAGGCATCCGGGACTGCCTTCCGCCTGGAAACTGATGCCCTCACTGCGGGAGAAGATGCGGATCAAGAATAGGGCTCCACAGTCACCTAAGGACCCACCACCAGAACACTGATCCTGGACGACTATCCTACTAGGACAATGAGGGATCCCCTAAGTAAGTAAGTAAGGGCTTTTGTGGTAGGGCCCCTGGATTATCTGCTTTGAACTGGATTATATGAATCTATATTATATGGGATCAGATCCTGGGATATAGGGCAGTGTAAATCCAACCCTACACTTCCATATAATATCCAGATTGTCTGCTTTGAGCTGGATTATATGGCAGTGTGGACTCACATAATCCAGTTCAAAGTATATAATCTGGATTATATGGCAGTGGAGAAGGGGCCAAAATCTAATTGGTCCAACAGCTGGCTAGGTGCAAGTGCCAGATAAAGCACTTTTGGGCCACCATTTTCAATATGCATAGAGAATGCCTCTATGGAGAAGCAATACAGTACAGAAAAGCCCTTGCACTTTCCCGTATGCATCAGAAGAAGTGTCATTTATCATCATTTGCTGGGTCCTAGTGTTTTTCTTGCCCTGAGAAAGGAAGTCTGCTGGTACAAAAAACAAAAAAAAAAAACATTAAAAAAACCCCTATAATGATAGTTTGTTGTAATTTGACCTGGCAATAATTTGGCTTGGTTTTAATATTTTAGGAAGTCACAGCCCTATCTTTCAGCCTATTTCCTTTCCTCTTAAGTGCATGATCTGACTTCAGGGCAGAGGGCCAGAATTTCTCCTGGATGTTACTAAGGGGTAGTTTCGTGTTTGGGAGAGTTAATTCTGAGCAGGAAATAAGCACTAGCCGAAGGTATTTCTACAGCAGTTCGGCAGGAGATTTATCCTGTGGGAGGAAGTGTCTGCTTCCAGAAACAACTGGCTGTGTTTACACATTTATTCACCCCATTTTCCAAAATATTGTTACGGTTGTTTCGCTGAGGAATTCTTTCCTTCTGCTATAAAAAAAAAATAAGTTCCTTGGAAATCCTGATTATACTGTAGGTTGTTTTTATTTCTTTTTCAGAAGGAAATTTGCAGTTGTGTGACCTGTTTTGGGAGGGAGGGAAGAACCCAGTCATACAAATGTGGAGCCCGTTTCCAAAAGGTTCAAAATCCATCTGAGCAAATTTTACAGGAATCGGAAAAAAGCTGCAGAAGATATTTTTAAGCACTCTTGTGCTTAAAAAATGCATTTTTCCAAGCCCGATATCAAAGCGATTTGATACATTTTGATAATTTTGATCTGTACACAATATTTTACAATATTTTCTTTTTTCCTGAATATTCTACTCATTTGGTATTTTTTGGAAACCAGCTCCACAATTGCGCTCACTTCTCCTTTGACTGCATTTAGCCCTTCCGAGAATTTTTTTTACACACAAACATATAGTGCGCTTTAAATTTTGTTTTTATCGATTATGGTGCGTACTTGTCCGAACGCATCTGCCCCTCCGTCCCACCTCGCAATTTAAGATCATCCGGGGAGGCCCTGCTCTCGCTCCCGTCAACAGCGCAAATGTGGCTGGCGGGGACGAGGGGCAGAGCCTTTTCGGCTGTGGCCCCCGCCTATGGAACACACTCCCAAAGGAGGTAAGATCTGCTCCCTCACTCCTGACCTTTAGAAAAAATTAAAATCATGGTTCTGGAACCAGGCCTTTGGACAATAGATGTATGCAGCTTTTAGTGGGACAAGGACTGGAACGGCAACTTGACTGATGAGATTGTTTTATGGTTTTAATAACTGTTTTTTTATTTGATGATTTACTGTTTTTAATATGATTTACGTTTAAAGTATGGCTTTACTATTGTAGTTGTAAGGCATTGAATTTTTGCCATTATCTATGTGTAAACCGCAATAAATTCATAAACAATCAGGGCTGTGTGGCATGTTCTAGAAGCATTCTCTCCTGACGTTTCGCCTGCAGCTATGGCAGGCATCCTCAGAGGTTGTGAGGTCTGTTGGAAACTAGGAAAATTAGGTTCATATATCTGTGGAAAGTCTAGGGTGGGAGAAAGAACTCTTGTGTGTTGGAGTTAGGTGTGAATGTTTCAATTGGCCACCTTGATTAGCATTTGATGGCCTGACAGTTTTTAAGTATGGCTTGTTCCTGCCTGGGGGAATTCTTTGTTGAGAGGTGATTAGCTGTTCCTGATTATTTCTTGTCTGGAGTTCCCCTATGTTTGAGTTTTGTTCTTTATTTACTGTTATGATTTTAGAGGTTTTTTTTAATACTGGTAGCCAGATTTTGTTCATTTTCATGTTTTCTTCCTTTCTGTTGAAATTGTCCACATGCTTATGGATTTCAATGGCTTCTCTGTGTAGCCCGACATGGTGGTTGTGAGAGTGGTCCGGCATTTCTGTGTTCTCAAATAATATGCTTTGTCCAGGTTGGTTCATCAAACAAAGAGTTGTTGATGTAATATGAATGTAATAAATTAAATCAGCCATGTTCGGCAAATTATGATGCTTAATCTTCTCTGTGTTTTTTATATATTAGTGTGTAACTCCACTGTCACTGATACGTCTCATTGCTACTGTGAACATGGTTATGAATGGCCTGCCAACACATGTGAAGCATATCCCTCCTGTCCTGAAACCGCAAAAGCTGCAGGAACTCAGAGCTGCAAGTGCCTGGCATTGCTGCCTTCACAGGGAGGCTATTGCCAGCCTCAGCCTGCAAGTAAGAGCTGGTGGAAATGAACATTGTGGCTACCCTTTTCCATAGCTGCCATTTCGAAGCAGGGGTGAACAACACTTGTAGGCTAATCCATTTCTAATTTTATGCAGCACCTATCACTTCTTTTTTCTCTCTGACAATATTTATTTATGCGGTGGTGAGCACAGAAAATAACACATAGTTTATGAGGCATACGCATAACTGGAACAACCACATATTTGTCTCCATTTAGTATGTATCTGTTTCACTCCCTTTTCTGTGTTCTCCTTTTCTGTAGATCACAGTTTCTTTTCTCCCCTGATTCTTAGAAAATCATGATGCATGTCGTCAGTACTAAATAAATAAAAAAGTCACATACTAAGGAATTTTTATCATACAGAGTATATCTTGCAAATGTTAAAATTTAGTTTGTCAATCAAAACAAAAATTTCTTCCATACAAATTATGGTAAATATGGATTTTGACCTGTCTTCCATATACCACAAGTCATGTAGTGAGCCCTGCCCTAGATTCCTTCCTCCTTGAAAACTACTAAATCAGAAATTGAGAGGTGCCACTGAAATGGCTCATCTGTCTGTAGATATGCATGTAACTTATGCATGTACTTTGAATGTCAAATTACATGATGTTCCGTCTTCCAGGAGCTTGGTTTGCATTGCCCTTTAGTTGCTTGAAATAACATCCCTTTGTATTTCCCAGGGTTGCTACAGTCTTAGCAGCACCATAATAATCAAACATTAACAGAGTCTGGAAGCCAGCCTGCAAGCCTTTTGCAGCTATTGGCTTAAAAAAGTATCCTTTTGGTTTAGAGACCGCCTTTTTTCCTGGGGATGAGATCTCCATTTTGAAAAAGATCTCCTGCTTTCTTTAGTATAGAAAAAGCCTCAGATGTGCTGGTGGCCAAGCTAGGCAGCTTAGACAAGCCATTGTGAGTACGATTGAGATTGAGGGTTGAGGTTAAGGTTAAAGTCACCCTCTCGCCTTAGAAACTGGAGCTGAGCTCAGATAGAGAAAGACCTGCTCTTTCTAAAGGACAGTAGCTCAGTGCTGGGGCAGGGAATATCTCCGGATTTCTCTGCCATTGAGAAAGGCCCCATTACTTCATCTCCAAAACTAATATTGAGCTTAGATAGGGGAAGACCTGCTCTTTCTGAAAGATAACAGCTCAGGGTTAGGGTAAAAAATCCCAGGATTTTTCTACCATTGGGTAAAAGTTAACTTGGTAACTGAAGGAAAAAGGAAAGAACATCTATATGGTTTCCCAAATTGACTGTTTGTGTTTGTAACTTCATCAAGCTGTGCCAAGTCTGTCAAGGACTTTGAAAAATAAATGTTCTGTTGATGTTCAAATCTGGACTGGCCTCAGTTGCTGAGAATCGTGAGCTTCTAAGAAAGGCACCCACGGTTCTCCCAGATAAAGAGAGAAGCACATCTTAGTTTTAACTTTATAGTGTCTGGGTGTGACGGCACAATGAAGTTGGTTTTAACATCTGATTTGCAGCCAGATTTGCTGACCTGCTTCCAAAGAGCTTGGGCCAATAGCATTTCACGAAATAGGCTTGACCCATACTGTTTCCCTCCATTTTTACTATTACACTTGACATAGATTTGCAGTCATCAATCCCCAAACTAGCCCCTGCCTTGAAAAATATCAGCAACGAATAAAATGTCGAGACATGAGCATAGAAATAAAAAGTTAGATTCTGAAATATTAATATATTTGACATTGTTATCGCTTTTGAGCATTGGTTTCTACTACTTAGTGGTACTATTTTGCCTCTTCTTTTCTGCCTTAGGTAATCCTTCCACACACATAACAAAAATGTCTCTTGAGCTTGACGAACCCTTTCCAGATGATCTGTGGGATTCATCTTCCATTTTGTTTAAACGATACAAATACAATCTGGAAACTGCGGTATGTTTGAGTTGGTTCTTAAAATAATGTTTGTGTGGAAAGTGTGTTGTGCATTTCTACTTATTATAGTAACTGTTAGGATTAAAAGCATTTAATATTGTGGCTATCCATGGGGAAAGCCCTCAGAATTTTGTCATATTCCAACTACAGTATTTCACCGCATAATAGTCACACACACACCCTTTTGGGGGGAAGTGCAGCTATTATCTGGTGGCAACTATTATGTGGTGGAATACATCGCACAATAGTCCCTTTGAGGCACTCTCAAAGCATAGCTGTGAAAGGGAGAGAAAGGTGCGTGGATGAGTTCATCCGCCCACCCATCTTTCCCCTCCATGTTATGGAGCCTCTGCAGCTCGAAGGGGAGAGGCTAGCGAGTAGGTCCCCTTTGCTATTGTCTGATGGGCAGGTGAGTTTACCTGTTCTCTACCCTCTCTCTTCTGAACAGCAAATACTCCTCTTTAGCTTGGAGAGGACAAGTTGGTGGGCAGGTGAACCCACTCATTCGCCTCCATGTCCCCTCTGGCTTGCCAAAGCAAGGCAAGGCTATGTAGTTGCAGAGGAGGGTGGGTTTGCGGGGTGGGATGAGTGAACTCATTTCTTGCCCCTTTCCTTGATCACTTCAGGGATTGACTCAGCTTCCAGTTGAGTCAACCATCATAGCGCAAAAGAACAGTCACTGGGTGAGTGAATTAAGCTTGTGACTATTACACGAGGAAAGGTAAAATACGAATTTTGTCTTCCCAAAAGGAGGTGTGCGATTATTTTCAGGTGGTGACTAGTATCAATGAAATATTGTATTCTTGGTTTTAGATCCATGTTGAAAACTTACCTGTTTATGCAAATTCTTATACAGACTGAGTATTTTTTTTCGTAGACCATGTAAATATGGTATATTAGTCTCTTTGAGATGTTTATCTTGCATTTTGAATCTATAGAATGCACTTGTCAATATTAAAGTAAATTATATATATAAATAAAGATGACTTCCTGGTATATTTTACAATACAGGAGTATGAGAATAATAACATAAATTTGGAGGTGGAGAGTTCCTCATTACAGCTACATAAACTGAAAGATAAGAGACCAAAAATAGAAAAACTCTAAATCTTGGGGATTAAAACACTGCTATGAACTTATATTTTTTCTGTCACATTTGGTACTTTAGGAATTTGGAAATCGGTCACCTCCTAATTCAAAACAACAAGGGCTTGGGGTGGGGACTGGGGTCTCACCTACGCAATGAATATGAATACAGTGGAACCACTACTAAAGAGCATCCTAATTTAAGAGCATTTGAGTTAAGAGCTGTCGCTCAGCCCAAGTTTTACTTTGACATACAAATAGTGTTTTGAGTTAAGAGCTATCATCAGAGGGAGAGTTAGCACGAGAGTACAGGGTTTTAGGGCTCCAAGGAAGCAGCCTCCATGCTTTGTGTTCTTGTTTCCTTTGGGAGATTGTTGTCTGCTTTCCTCTCGTCCGTTTTGAGGAACTTTGGGTCAGTTGATTTTGTATGGCTTTTTATTTCTGGTATGTTTGGGTTACTGAGGTCCCAGAGACATAAATGCAGCCTTTCAACCTTTAGCAGCTGCTCATTGCTGATTCATAACCTACTGAATGATATAAATTAACAGCTCAATCTTTTCTGATGTGTTAATGTACTGCAAAAAACTTTTTTGTAATATATATTCTTATTTTTCAGCTTACTATAGGTTATAGATCTTTACAAGGCTTCAGAACTGTAACAGTTACAGGATTCAGGTACTGAAAACATTTACCTTCTCTTATAAGCCTTAGGAGGATTATCTAATGAAAGTGAACATTGTTTTGATCTTGGGGGATATCTATACTGACCATTTAGTTTGGTGTAGAAATTGGTCAGACTGCATGCGACAGACCCATGGTAATACAGGGTCCCCGTCCCCCACTCCCCGACTTCCAGACATGGGGACAGTTGAGCCAACACCCAACTGGAACTGGCGGTAACAACTCTTCTGGCTCTGGCTGCATTTCCTGGGTTCAGGTGGCCTGGGGATAAAAAGATGGCATTATCTCGACCCCCCCCCCCCCCAATCTTGTAGTGGTCTCCAGTATGCATGGGCATTCCATGGTTCTAAATGGATCTAAAGGGGGGTGCTTGTGCTTTGCTTCTAAAGTGTTGCTAAAGTTCTGGTGGTGAAAATTTCAGAATTCTAACAAAACTTTCAAAATTTCATTATAAAGGGCAGTTTCTAATTGGTTCTGTCATAAAAATAGCCAATAACAAACTTTAGCAACACTTTAGAAGCAAAGCACCAGTGCCCTCTAGTTTTGTAAGTACTTTAGAATAATTTAGAACACAGGTAATCCAACCAAACAGACTAACTGGTCAATAATTGATGATTATAATGAAACTAATTACAAGGACTTATAACAGTACTGAGGATATAAGGATGATGTAAATTGGATTAAATTTAAGACATGGATTAAAGAGAAAATAGAACGGGCAGAATCAGAAGGAAGTCCAATTTTTATTTTTATTTTTTATTCTTTATTTTTTGTTTGGTGTCTGATTTTTTGGACTTTTGGACTCTTTTTTTTCTTTTTTCTTTTTTTTTTCTTTTTTTTTCTCTTTTTTACTTTTTCCACACGGGGATTATTGAAACTATCTCTTTAATTTTCCTACTTTTCTATCCTCTTGAATTATTCCCCCACTTTCGCTGTAACCTTTAAAACTCAATATTTTTTTTAAAAAGAATAATTTAGAACCATGGATTGCCCATGCCTAGTCTCCAGCCATGATAAGGCACCTACCTTTTCCCTATTTCTCATCCCGAGGAGGAACCTTTAACAGCCTCACTAAACTACAAACCCCAGAATTCTGCAAGAGGCAGAAACCAGATTTAAAGTAGATTAATTCTCTAATGTGATGAAGTCGTAAGTCAGGGTGATGAGAGTGCTAGGAGATATACCAGTAGTTAATGGGATTGTTATAAGTCTCTTTGGAGAAGTAATTTAGAGCTGTGGGAGGAGGAATGGGAGAGAAAGCCTAATGGTATGAGCTGAAGTTCATTTGCATAATGATGAATGTAGACCTTTACATTGTTAGTCATTTTTCTTTATGAGGGAAAGAATGGTAAAAACAGCCAAAAATGGAACTGGTGTCTTGTGGTTGCTCTTTTCTCTAGGACTGAAGATACTATAACTATATAAAAATCTGAAATAATTTTAAAAATGATATTCTATCTCCATAGGCCTGGGAGCATTGTGGTTCACTATGAAATAACATCAACCGGAGACATGCCTGTTGAAAGGGCCAATGCAAAAGTAGCTGAAGCCATAGGCGATTCCTACAAACTGAAAAATAACTCATTTGCAAAGGAAATCCCCGGTAATGTTTACAATTCTCCATGCTATAATGTGTAACTAAGCTGTATTCCATCATGGCCCAATCCAAAGTTGCAAGGAATGGGCACAGCCTGTGCACCAGCATTAGATGTGTGAAGGCACTTGTGGCCACTACAGAAACCTGGATCTCCAGGTTCAATCCTAAATCCAGGAGCAGCCCCAGCTGTGGACCTCTGTCTTCAGGGAGAGTGTAACCCCATCTTGCTCAGGCTGGATCTCTGTCACCTGATCAGGAGCACCTCTGTCTTGTCTGGTTAAAGTTTCAGTTTGGTTTCCCTCATCTACTCCATTACTCATAACAAACACTGGTTGGGGATCAGGACAGCTTCCTTGGTTTTGAGTGGAAAGGAGCGGTCAACCCTTCTGTTTAAGGAGCTCCATTGGCTGCCATTTGTTTTCTGGTCCCAATTCAAAGTGCAGGTGCTTACCTACAAAGCCTTAAAAGGTTTGGGACCTGCCTACCTGCGTGACTGCATCACTGTGTATGAACCCACGCGATCTCTTCGATCATCTGGAGAGGCCCTGCTCGCGCTCCTGGCTCCATCGCAAGCGCGATTGGTGGGGACGAGGGACAGGGCCTTCTCGGTGGTGGCCCTCGACTTTGGAACTCACTCCCCAGGGACATCAGACATGCCCCAATGCTGGCAGTCTTTAGGAGGAGCCTGAAAACGTGGTTGTTCTAGTGTGCCTTCCCAGAATAAGGAAACTCCCAGCAATATGTCCCTAAACACACTTTATTAGTCATCTAGGATTGTCTGCACGCTCTATCCTTCTCCAAAATTTCTATTCTGTTTATATGTCACCTGGTCATGCCCAGCATTATTTTTTAAATTTTTAATTAGTATATTTGGCCCTGCCATAGGTTTTAAACGTCGCTATGTTATTGTTAATGTTTATTGCTATTTTCTGTTTATGAGTTTATTTATTGTTGTATTACTGTTACTATTGTTTTAATTGTTGTATTGTGGGCTCGGCCTCATGTAAGCTGCACCGAGTCCCTTGGGGAGATGGTAGTGGGGTACAAATAATTTATTATTATTATTATTATTATTATTATTATTATTATTATTATTATTAAAGGAGTGTTAAAGCTGGGTGTCATATGCATGTAGATGGCACCACACCACAAAAGATGATTAGCCAGGATTTTGATTCGGGGGGGGGGGGGGTGAGTTTTTTTTCAGGGGGGGTTGGGGGGCTGAGTTTCGGGGCGGGGCTGAGTCTGAGTGAAAGAGGGTCTACCCTAGCAAACCTTCTGTATCATTATCCCAATACCCCCATGCATATGGGATATATTGAGTATAGTGATCAGATCATGATATGAATAAACATAACAGTTTAAATAATGTACCAGTAAGGCCTTTTTGCGAACCACCATGAGAATTTCGGGGGGGGGGGCTGAAGCCCCTCAAGCCCCCCCCCCTTTCAAGAAAGCCCATCAAAAAAAGAAACTAGCAAAGAAATTCAAAAGCCCCCCCCCCCCCCGGCTACATGCCTATCCCCATGGTTTCATGTAGATCAGTGGTTCCCAAACTTATTTGGCCTACCCCCTGGAAATCAATTTTTCTAAATCTTCTCTTCTTTCTTTTATGCTTTCACTGCCCCCTTACAGCTATTCATCGCCCCCAAATGCACCTGTGGCCATTATCCCCCCCCCCCATTGCTGCAGTGCCCACCAGGGGACGGTAACACCCACTTTGGGAATCACTGATGTAGATGTTAAACAACATGGGGGATGAAATAGAGCCCAATGAGACCCCATAGGCTAACAGCCAGGGTTTGAATCTGGAGTTCCTCCAGATTCACCTTCTGCGTTTGCCCGTCCTGGAAGAAATACGACCACTGTAAGGGCCTTATCATATTAAGTGAGGGATTTGCCATGCATCATGGAAAATACGTGGGGTTGCCCTGTGCCCTGCATTGCCCACCTTTCTGTCGACCTCACCTGCTGCCTGGCTTCCCCCATTATAGCAAAGGCAACATGGGAAGTCTCCCGTGTTGCCGCTGTGGCGCTGTACGCCACTTCCCCTTTCACCATGGTGTCCGACTGGAAGTAGATGTGAGTTGTGTATGGGCTCTGTGGCAAAAGGAACGGGGAAGCGGCGTATGGTGGGCAAATCAGCCTGTATGATGAGGTCGTAAAACAGTGCCACCAAGTCCCATCTCAGTTAGGCATCCCAGAAGAATACCATGGTCAATACTGATGAAAGACTTGTAGTTCCATTTTGCTCCATCCCAACATGGTGCTCAGATGGTGCCCAATTTTCGAACGTTTTTCTGATTATTTCTTAAACTAAATAATTCTTGATGATTCATATTCTAAGCAGTGCTTTTTAATTTTTCTCCAGGCAATGTAAACTTCTCTGTTTCCCCCGAGAACATTTTTGAGGGGGATACAGTACGAATGTTCTGTGAGTCAAGCTCAGTGACAAATAACGTGACTTGGACTCTTTCGGGGCGTTTGCTCTCCAGCAACCGGCACTCTGTTCTGAATGAATTTAAAAGTGGAAAGTCAACGTCAACACTGACAATCACAAGCATTAAGCAGAATGAATCTGGTAATTCTAAATCTAAATAGAAAAGTATATGTGTCAAGAGGTATAAGAATTTCAGTGCAGTGCTAGGACAGGTGTCAATCTAAATATCTGGATTGTTTTCTACCGAGGACCAGGGAAGAAGGAATGAGTAAGGAGAAAGGGACCAGCATTGATCCAGGAATCACCATTCCTGGATGGTGATGGTGGTGGGGCTTCAACAGGATTGATAAGACTCGAGTCCAGGTGATGCTACAAACTTTCATTAGTAGCTAGTAAAGTTTCTTTCTGATCTGGGTTGTTGTAAGTTTTTTTGGGCTATATGGCCATGTTCTAGAGGCATTTCTCCTGACGTTTCTCCTGCATCTATGGCAAGCATCCTCAGAGGTAGTGAGGTCTGTTGGAACTAGAAAGATGAGTTTATGTATCTGTGGAATGACCAGGGTGGGACATTCACACCTGGCTCCAGCAGACAAAAGTCCTTTGTCCCACCCTGGTCATTCCACAGATATATTAACCCATTTTCCCAGTTCCAACAGATCTCACTACCTCTGAGGATGCTTGCCATAGATGCAGGCGAAACGTCAGGAGAGAATGCCTCTAGAACATGGCCATATAGCCTGAAAAAACCTACAACAACCCATAATTGTAATTGTTTAAAGTAGTAAGGAGGGCCCCACATTGCTCTGGATGGTTTTACAGTAAAAATAGAATACATATAGGATAGTGACACCTTGACAGCATGCCTATTGTAGCCAGCGCAGTTTGAAGCTAGCCACTGTAGTTTGTAGCCACCAAAGCTTGAAGCTGATGTCCTTGGGCACATCTCCGTTGACCATATAATCCAGTTTGAAGTTCACATTTCTTCAATTCTAAGACACCATCAGATGTACACTAATTTCAGCACTAACAACAACAACAGCCCACACACACACATATATGCACACACAGAATCATAGAATCATAGAGACCTCATGGGCCATCCTGTCCAACCCTCTGCCAAGAAGCAGGAATATTGCATTCAAATCACCCCTGACAGATGGCCATCCAGCCTCTGCTTAAAAGCTTCCAAAGAAGGAGCTTCGGGGCAGAGAGTTCCACTGCTGAACGGCTCTCACAGTCAAGAAGTCAAGAAGTTCTTCCTCATGTTCAGATGGATTCTCCTTTCTTGTAGTTTGAAGCCATTGTTCCTTGTCCTAATCTCCATGGAAGCAGAAAACAAGCTTGCTCCCTCCTCCCTGTGGCTTCCTCTCACATATTTATACATGGCTATCATATCTCCTCTCATCCTTCTCTTCTTCAGGCTAAACATGCCCAACTCCTTAAGCCGCTCCTCATAGGGCTTGTTCTCCAGACCCTTGATCATTTTAGTTGCCCTCCTCTGGACACATTCCAGCTTGTCAATATCTCTCTTCAATTGTGGTGCCCAGAATTGGACACAATATTCCAGGTGTGGTCTAACCAAGGCAGAATAGAGGGGTAGCATTACTTCCCTGGATCTAGGCACTATGCTCCTATTGATGCAGGCCAAAATCCCATTGGCTTTTTTTGCCACCACATCACATTGTTGGCTCATGTTTAACTTGTTGTCCATGAGGACTCCAAGATCTTTTTCATACGTACTGCTCTCGAGCCAGGCATCACCGTCCCCCATTCTGTATTTTTGCATTTCGTTTTTTCTGCCTAAGTGGAGTATCTTGCATTTGTCCCTGTTGAACTTCACACACACATAGTGCCTGTTTTTCTAAGCTACCCTACATTTCAGATATGTTTATATGGGGGAAAGTGCATCTCATGCCCCTTCTACACTCCCATATAATCCAGATTATCAAAGCATATAATCTACATTATCCGTTTTGAACTGGATTACATGAGTCTACATTTCGTATAATCTAGTTCAAAGCAGATAGTCTGGATTTTATATGGCAGTGTAGATATGGTAAGTCCCTTAGCAAGTAAATCCCCCCCCCCCCCACTTTAAAAAGCCTCTTTCTTTACTATTCCTTATTTTAGGAATTTTTCTGGTGTTTTGTCATCTATATAAATAAAAATGTAACATTCGTTTGTGGAATTAACATAACTCAAAAACCACTGGACGAATTGACACCAAATTTGGACACAAGACACCTAACAACTCAATATATGTCCTTCACTCAAAAAATTGATTTTGTCGTTTGGGAGTTGTGGTTGCTGGGATTTATAGTTCACCTACAATCAAAGAGCATTCTGAACCCTACCAACGATAGAAGTGGGCCAAACTTGGCACACAGTTCTCCCATGACCAACAGAAAATACTGGAAGGGTTTGGAGAGGAATGCCCTTTGGTTTTGGAGTCGTAATTCACCTACATCACTGTAGATCACTGTGGACTCAAACAATGATGGATCTGGACCAAACTCTACATGAATACTCAATATTGCCAAATGTGAACGCTTGTGGAGTTTGGGGAAAATAGAATCTTGACACTCAGGAGTTGTAGTTGCTGGGATTTATAGTTCACCTACAATCTAAGAGCATTCTGAACCACACCAACGATAGAATTGGGCCAAACCTCCTACACAGAACCCCCATGTGGGCCACAGCAACATGTGGCAGGGGGTGGCTAGTATATAAATAAAAATGTAATGTTCAATTGTGGGATTAACATAACTCAAAAACCACTGAATGAATTGACACCAAATTTGGACACAATACACCTATCAGGCCAACGAGTGACCATCGCTCATAAAAATACTGAAAAACACAACAGAAGAGACTTTAAAAGCCAAAGATACATTACAGCCCATGTGCAAAACCACACACATATACGCAAACACACATATACACACCAAACAACATATATACAGAATGGACCACAGCAATGCGTGGCAGGGGATGGCTAGTTTGAAATGAAAATAATGTAAATCCCACAGATTATCCGGTACTGTACTTAATAGGTCTCACTGTCATGTTGGACCTTGCTACAGCATCACCCATTAGTAACTGCTAATGATTTCTTAAATATCTGAAGATCTGTTAGACAAAAGATCCATTCTGCAGGAAATCCTTATCTGTATCCCATGGAGAGACACTATAGATCTGAACTGGGCCATGGAGCTAGTATGGTGGTTTTAACATCAGTGTTCTGTTCTTGGGACAAGTCTATATTAGCGCAGAGAGCAAATTTGTATTCAGTTTGGGACTACTGCTTTAGAAAAATATGAAAAATATTTAACTACATTGTGGTCTTTTGGCAGGTAATTATAGTTGCTCTTTTATGGAATGGAAAACGAATTTGTCATTAATATACAAATATGTAGAGAATATAATTGTCTCACCAATCAAAATTGCACAATCGGATAATATTTCAATTGTATGCAATGGCGAGAGGCACGAACTGAGTTGCTGCACTGATCGAGATATCCGAGAATTCAATTTTTACTGGAAACCAAATGGATCAATAAATATTTCAGGTAAATTTCTATTGGTTGTTAGCTGAAAATAAAGTGTTTCCTTTTTTCATCACTTTACGAATGTCTACAAGTACTGTCTCAGAAGTTGGTGGTACAGATCCAAAAATATATCTAATTTCAAGGAATACCAAGGAAACTAGATAGGGGTTTCCCTTGTGCTTTGAAGCTATGAAGTATGTCACCCAAAGTGCACTCTAGCAAACAATGAGATTTCTCACATGGTCGGCCAATCACTATTTGCAAATAAATAGTACCATGAACCCCAGCAATGATGGGTCTCAGCCAACCTTGGTGCACATACCCACCATGACCAACTTTATACTGGTGGGCTTTTGGAGGGGGGTGAATTAACCCTAGATGATGAGAGTTGTAGTTCACATCCAGAGTTCACCCACCTCCAGAGAGCACTGTCAACCCCACCAATGATAGGTCTCAGCCAACCTTGGTGCACATACCCATCATGACCTACTTTACATACTGGTGGGTTTTTGGAGGGGGTGAATTAACCCTAGATGATGAGAGTTGTAGTTCACATCCAGTGTTCACCCACCTCCAGAGAGCACTGTGAACCCCACCAATGATGGATCTCAGCCAACCTTGGTGCGCATACCCACCATGACCAACTTTATACTGGTGGGGTTTTGGAGGGGGTGAATTAACCCTAGATGATGAGAGTTGTAGTTCACATCCAGTGTTCACCCACCTCCAGAGAGCACTGTGAACCCTACCAATGATGGGTCTCAGCCAACCTTGGTGCACATAACCATCATGGCCAACTTTATACTGGTGGGTTTTTGGAGGGGGTGAATTAACCCTAGATGATGAGAGCTGTAGTTCACATCCAGCGTTCACCCACCTCCAGAGAGCACAGTGAACCCACCAATGATGAATCTGGACCAAACTTGACACACATATCCATCATAACCACTACTGTTTAGTTTGGAGGCAATGGCAGATGATGACGGGAGTTGTAGTCACCCACATCCTTATGCATTTTCATGAAATAAAGATCCATGAAATAAAGATTATTTCTAATAAATCCATGAAATAAAGATTATTTCTAATAAATAGCATTTCTTAATATCTAACCTGGGCACTACCGGGTACTGAAGCTCATGCACGCACACACATAATCTGCTCAGAAATAAGTCCCATTGGGTTACATGACCAAAACTTGTGCTCTACTACTGATCTTCACAGATTATGCATCTTGATAGGCAGTAGAGATGTAGAGGGCACGTAGTGAATCAGGATTTAGAAGCACTTAAAATTTCACTGCCTGTCTTTAGTGCATTGAAACCATTTCTTCTTATTGCAGGTAGTATCACCTCCAGTCATAACTGTACAACATATGTACTTCAGGCAAATGAGTCTCAATGCCCAGCGGACAAGTCTGGGTCCAAAACAGATTATACGTGTGAGCTGAACACTACATATGGTGCCCGAAACAATAGAGTAATCAGTGTGACTTATTTTCGAGTGGGTAAGTATTTCTTCGGGAATCATTCCAAATTTAACTCGTTGGTGATTTGTAATTGAAATGAAATGAGCTCCTGCTATTAGCCCCGGCTCCTGCCAAACTAGCAGTTCAAAACATGCAAATGGGAATAGATCAATAGGTACCATCTCGATGGGGAAATAGATGGCGCTCCATGCCGTCATGCTGGCCACATCATCTAGGAGGTGTCTACAGAGAACGCATACTCTTCAGCTTAGAAATTGAGATGAGCAACACCCCTCCGAGCCAGAAGGGAAGCCCTTTCCTTTATCTGTGTGTCTGTGTTTTGTTGTTTCTAGGCACTGAATGTCTTCCTTGTATCTGTATATGCTGGACTCCTCCCTGAGCCCCCTCAGGGAGATAGGGCATAATACAAATACATTATTACCTTGTCTCCTGTGCTATTTTAATAATATAATATAATATAATATAATATAATATAATATAATATAATATAATATATATTAATGCAATATAATACTAATACTAATAATATGATATTATAATTATATATTTATATTACATGTAATATTACTAATAATATTACAGTATAATTGATATAGTACAATATAGCAATATTTCAAACTGATATTGTACTATGCTAATAATATATTGTATGTAAGCCACTCTGAGTTCCCTTCGGGATGAGAAGGGCGGCATATAAATGTCGTAAATAAATAAATAAATAAATAAATAAATAAATACTATTGTTGTTATTATTATTATTGCTGAGTTTTTCACCTTTCCACATACGATATAGCATACCTTTGCAAAAAAGTGGGAAATTGTGATATGGGCTTGTGGAATACCCAGAGTTATCCACATAAAAAATCTAACCATCTGTGCAAAAATTGTGATTTTTGTTACTTGGAATATGTTATTGGATTCCTGCATAGTGCACTGAACACTTTTGTTTGTATAGTGTACACAACGTACAACTTTATCAAGAATGTAGTAGGAGGTTCGTATGTTGCTTAGCATAAATAAGTTGCCACAGTGTGCCATTTCAATAAATAAGAGGACATGAGACCATCCACTTTTGTGTGTGAATATAAGAGCCATTCCCAGTCCCCTAGGGGAGATGGGATTATTATTATTATTATTATTATTATTATTATTATTATTAGTATTATTATTATTTTACTGACACAAAAGCACAATATATCACAGCAATTGAGATCTATATGCTGGATTTCGTATCAAAAAATCACAAGTCGAACACTTACCAAGCGTCTAGGACTATGTGATGTATTTTCGAATGATACGTGCAGATCCAAGTAAGGTGGCCTTTTGCAGTTGACAGATCATGATTTTGTCGATGTTTATTGTTTCCAAATGCCGGCTGAGATCTTTTGGCACTACACCCAATGACCACTGGGACCACTTGGACTGGTTTATGCCAGAGCCTTTGCAGTTTGATTTTGAGGTCTTGATAGCGGCTGAGTTTTTCCTGTTTTTTATGAGGAAAAACATTATTATTATTATTATTATTATTATTATTATTATTATTGTCCCATCACCAACTACCAGGAAGTTTTGCTTCCATTTCCAGAGGTGTACATAAGTGTGTGTACTATATACATTTCTTAGATATAGACACCAGTGTTCAGTTTGGTTTCGAAACCATTAATCACCAGTAAATTTTATTTTCCAACAATGGTTTTGACCCAACTGACTCACCCCCAAATGCCTTGCCTTGAACTGACGCTGATCTCATTTCTGAAATATTAATATTACTTGTGTGTGAATGAGTGTCTTCAAGCAAATCTCTTAAGAGCAGAGTGTAGTGATTCTTACCTAGTAGGCCGGAAAAGAAGCCTGGATAACAATAGGGCAAACCTCCATTTTGAGAGTGTATGCCAGGGAAGCAGCCATCTTGAGTGGGTATAGCTAGACGATGGGAGGAGTTTGAAGTCTCCTGGGATCGGCTAGAGCAGATGGGAGGAGCCAAGCCTTAGGAGAGAAAAAGATTTCAGCTTCTGTGGAGAGGGGGATTGGGACCTGGTGGAAGAAGAAGTGTTTTTGAAACTAGGTTTTCAGAGAGAGAGCATCTGTGTCAGGCAAGGCTGGTTAGCTGACAGAAAGGGTCAGACAGCTATCTGATTTCTTGTGGGAGATAGCACAAGGGATTAGCTCTCTAGACTGAGTTAGTTTAGCAGTAAGAACTCTGCTAATAACTCAGGGGATAACTCAGGGGACTACCTAGGTTAGGTTAGACAGAAACTCATTGCTATTTCTCTGAAGTAGAGTGAGGGATTTTTGTAACCAGCAGCTATATCTGCTTGATTAGCTCTGTATGTAATTAAGTGAGGAAACTCTTTTCAAGCAACCATCAAGCTATAGTACACTTTTGTAACAAGTCAAGTCTTTTGTGCCTCTCAGAAGAAGAAGTAGTTAGTTGTCTGTTGTTTTTATAAATAAATCTTTTTTTTTATTTTACTTTCAAAAAGTTCTCTATTGTTCCTCAATCTATCAGTATTCCTTTGTGATAATTCTAGCCTCTTCAACATCCTAATACCACAGAAAGGTCTCTTATCCAAACAGTCATTTTGGGAGCAGTGCTAGCAGAGAAGGGAAAAGTTTACCTCAAAGACTCATTTTAAAAATCCTAAGGCAGCTTGGGTTGGTGGCAGCATTAAACCAAAAGAAGACTGAAGCAGTGTTCACTCTACCATTACACATTCTATTTAACATCAGCTCGCTACCATACTATTGTCCAGTAGTGGTATATTGGATTTAGATTGTGTCTTAAATTTTGAACCTTGTTCTTTCTATGTTGTACACCGCTGTGAGTCGCCCCCGGGCTGAGAACAGCGGTATATAAGCAAAGTAAATACATAAATAAATAAATATTACATATAATCCTTTACAGTGGTGTTCAGCTGTGTGATTTATACTAAGATATAACTTCACACTTCTCTATAATTGGTGCCAGTGGCGAGATTGATATCGTACACTTCTTTTATACAGAACAATGGCTGGGAAGCAAGATTCAGCAACGCTTATTTCCAGACTGATAATGGTCAATTTATATGTTTTTAATGTGCTATATGAGATTTAAAAACCAAAACATGGAAAGTGCAAGACTACATCATCTCTGCCCCAATCTATATTTTGAAAATGAACACAATGCTGCTCCTTTCTAAGCTGTATTTGTAATACTGTTCAAACACATCCTAAATGCAACCTTTTCATTTTTGTTTCTCTAGCAAATGTGATCATGTCTTCCAACCCAAGTGGTAAGGTGTCTAAGGGGCACCATATTTCAGTGACGTGTCTCAGTGATGTGAGCAACTATGACAAAGTCACGTGGCAAATCCAAAGTGGAAGCTCTATTAAGGAAGTAGATCGTGTGTGGTTCACTACCACAAAGACCCCAAGAGGTGCTAAATCTGTGCTGAATATAGGCAGTGCTAATGAGAATTGGGCAGGTAAGCAGCAACAAAAAGATATTACTGTACTAGCAAAAATCACTCAGTAGTTAAAGACTTCACAATTGATTTTGAATTGATAGCCACAGGGTATTTATTTATTTATCATGTCAGAAGCGAATTGAGAATACAGGTATAATAGATAGCAAAACTACAAACTTAGCATTACACTAAATGTCCTTTGACCAGAAGCTAGCCACTTGGAGTGCCTCTGGTGTTGCTATAAGAAGGTCCTCCATTGTTCATGTGGCGGGGCTCAGATTGCATTGTAGTAAATGGTCTGTGGTTTGCTCTTCTCCACACTCGCATGTCATGGACTCCACTTGTAGCCCCATTTATTAAAGTTGGCTCTGCATCTTGTGCCAGAGCGCAGCCTGTTCAGCACCTTCCAAGTCTGTGTGCCCAGGAGGGAGTCTCTCATCTGGCATCAGCCACTGATTGAGGTTCTGGGTTTTAACCTGCCACTTTTGGACTCTTGCTTGCTGAGGTGTTCCTGCAAGTATCTCTGTAAATCTTAGGAAGCTATTTCTTGATTTAAGTCATTGCCATGCTGGCTGATATCCAAACAGAGGATGAGCTGGCGATGTCACTGCCTTGGTCCTTTCATTAGTGGCTGCTACTTCCTGAAAGATGTCAGGTGGTGCAATACCAGCTACACAGTATAATGTCTCCAGTCGTGTAGGGCGTAGACATTCTTGGAGGGATAGCCAATACTCCAGAGGACAGGAGCAGGATTCAAAACGATCTTGACAGATTAGAGAGATGGGCCAAAACTAACAAAATGAAGTTCAACAGTGACAAATGCAAGATACTCCACTTAGGCAGAAAAAAAAACAAAATGCAAAGATACAGAATGGGGGACAATGCCTGGCTCGAGAGCAGTACGTGTGAAAAAGATCTTGGAGTCCTCGTGGACAACACGTTAAACATGAGCCAACAATGTGATGTGGCGGCAAAAAAAGCCAATGGGATTTTGGCCTGCATCAATAGGAGCATAGTGTCTAGATCCAGGGAAGTCATGCTCCCCCTCTATTCTGCCTTGGTTAGACCACACCTGGAATATTGTGTCCAATTCTGGGCACCACAATTGAAGAGAGATATTGACAAGCTGGAATGTGTCCAGAGGAGGGCGACTAAAATGATCAAGGGTCTGGAGAACAAGCCCTATGAGGAGCGGCTTAAGGAGCTGGGCATGTTTAGCCTGAAGAAGAGAAGGCTGAGAGGAGATATGATAGCCACGTATAAATATGTGAGAGGAAGCCACAGGGAGGAGGGAGCAAGCTTGTTTTCTGCTTCCCTGGAGACTAGGACAGAACAATGGCTTCAAACTACAAGAAAGGAGATTCCATCTGAATATTAGGAAGAACTTCCTGACTGTGAGAGCTGTTCAGCAGTGGAACTCTCTGCCCCGGAGTTTGGTGGAGGCTCCTTCTTTGGAAGCTTTTAAACAGAGGCTGGATGGCCATCTGTCAGGGGTGATTTGAATGCAATATTCCTGCTTCTTGGCAGGGGTTGGACTGGATGGCCTATGAGGTCTCTTCCAACTGTATGATTCTATGATTCTACAATCATGCGGCATGTCTCATTAAGAGCCACATCCACTGTTTTAACACGGTGAGATGTATTCCACACTGGATATGCATATTCAGCAGCAGAGTAACAAAGCACAAGGGCAGGTGTCTTCACTGTATTTGGTTGTGACCCCCAGCTACAGGGTACACTTACTGGATTTCAGTGGCTGGAATTTAGAAGCACCTCATTTATTTACATTTACTATTTCAGTGGTGTTTGCTAATACTTACATATTATGCTTTCATTGTTTTTAGGCACCTATAAATGCACCTTTTCCCAAAGTTTTTTGAACAGCCAAGCACATATGAAAATTCAAGTTTTTCCTTTGCCCCTGAAACAAGAGATCACCAGAGATCCTATAGAAACATTTGTCTCCTGTCCAGTGAATCAAGTCCTGAAATGCTGCATCAGAAAACAGGAAAACTATATTGTAACATTCTCTGGTCCAAAAGGGTCTCCGAGCTTTCCTGCAGGTAAGCAGCCTCTGGGTCAGAGAGAGAAAAGCAGATGTCTGAGGACCTGAACATTGAGGTCTTTTTGTTTTTTGTTTTCATTTTATTTTGAAGCATGCTATAATAATAACATGCTGCTCACCAAAATTATAAAGCAATGATGTAGGATTTTTAATTAAATTTATCAGATGGGGAAATATATAAAATAATCCCACCGCTGCTCAGCCAAAATTATGAAGCCTTCAAAAGGATGAGGGAGAATGGTTTCTGAACCAACTGTATATTTAAAAGTTAGGAACTGGGAACCACTAGAACTGAGAGACTTAAAATGATTCTGCATAGTGCAGAATAAATTCTACTGCCACCATTTTACTATTAATCAGGTTGAGGTAATATTTGAGAGTTTGTTCTGCAACACACACTGTGCCACAATAGTTTCTTAGAGGTTGCTGTGAAGCTGTCTTTAGTAATACTTTGACCACAAAGGTATTCACACTGTGGCTGGTATAAGTTGAATAAAAGAATAAGAATGTTTATTGAACAAGCTTGAATAATTCAGGTACAAATGCTTAATGGTTTCAGTAAAATTCTGGTATAAAAGCTTGTGGTTGCGTTAGAGTCAAAATCTTTAAAACTTCTGGGTTACAAGTTCCACCACAGAAAATTACATCAGGAAATGAATCTCTGAAAGTAACTCCCAAAAATACCCCTTAGGAATCTAGCCAAAAATACCCTGAACTAGACTTCCTAAGGAAATGAACAGTCCACTAACTGGGTACTGCTCCTCCACAGTATTCTAGCTATTTACTCAATAGCTACTCTGAATACTTCACAAAAGACTAACCCAATCTTCTTTTCTAAACCCAAACTCGCTCTCACTAACACCAACTCTTCTTCTCTCTAACAGCTCCAAACCCTAGCTCCAACTGACTAAACTGGGACTTCAAACCTCTGTTTAAAAGACACTTTTTTCCTCTAGACCACTTAGGCTCTGCCCCCATCTTCCTAGCCAATCCTGTCCTTCTGATTTTCCCTCTAAGACTTGAACACGCGCCCCCAAGGCAAACCTACCTAAAATGGTTTCTCCCTGTCTCCCTTTTCTAAAATGGATGCCAGGCCCACTCCCTTTAGGCTTCAGGCAGCCAGCTAAGGTAAGGGATTCATTACACATGCTAACTAGTAAAACTACTAGAATTAGGTTTTGATGATACAAAAAGATGGGTAAGAATTGAGAAGTCAATACATGGGTGGAAGCACTGTTTGTGTCTAAAGGAAAGGATGAACAGTCAAGAAATAAAGAAAATAAAAGGACGCCCACTATCTTCAACATTAAAATGCTGGAAAAAAATTGCATTGAACAAAATAGGAATATTAGATAATAAAAAAGAACATTTATGGAAAAGTGATAATAAATATAAATAAAAATAGTTTAACAAAGATAGGGGACCTTATAAATTCAGCCGGAATAACAAAAGACTGGGAGGAGTTAAAAGACAAATTGGGATCAAGCAATTAGTTCCTGGCAAAATTCTGTCAGCCTACGTCCCACTTCATTTTCTTCTCCCAGACCACACTTGCCTGTGATCCCAGTTGGCTTTTTGGATAATACACCAAAAAGAAACATTATTTTCATTACAGGACACTTCTTGTAATGAAAATAATGTTTCTTTTTGGTGCATTATCCAGTAGGTGGTGCATATCCTCATAGAACTGATTTACTTCTGCTTCTTCAGCAGCTGTGGTTGGGGCGTATATTTGGACTTTCCTTGCACTCGAATTGAGATCATTCTGTCATTTTTTGTGTTTCATCCAAGCACTGCTTTAGTGACTTTCTTATTAATTATGAAGGCTACTCCATTTCTTCGGTGTCCCTCTTGTCTGCAGTAGTAGATCTGGTGGTCATCTCATGTGAAGTGGCCCATTCCGGTCCATTTCAGTTCGCTGACGCCCAGAATGTCTATCTTTAGTCTTGACATCTCACCAATAACAACATCCAGTTTGCCCTGGCTCATAGATCTTACATTCCAGGTTCCTATGGTGTATTGATCTTTAGAGCATCGGATTCGTCGTTCACCTCAGAATAGTTCATTAAAATCATAAAGTAAAATTAAAGCAATAAGTTGGCCCATCGGAATGGTGACACACAGCTTGCACGAATGTCTCAAAATTTACATCTCCTCCACTAATGCTTTTTGCTACCTGGATGGATGACATTTCCCTATTCTAAATCTATTTTTCCTCTACAGAAGTTAGAAAAGAAGGCAGCCTCTACTGCTACTATACCAAACCAGTGGCCACAGATGTTTCCTGCAGTGCCCTCGGACAAAGATTTGAGCTGTTTTGTGAGTTCACCAACCAAATTGGTGATAGTGTTAAGAGTTCACCAATTACCCTAAAGCTTGTCCCAGGTAAGAAAGAGAACAAGGGTAAGTAATTATGTCCCCTTCTACACAGCTGAATTAAATCCTACATTATCTGCTTTGAACTGGGATATATAGCAGTGTGGACTTAGATATTCCAGTTCAAAGCAGATATCTGCCTTGATATTCTGGGTTATATGGCTGTGTGGAAGGGCCCTATATGTGATTTTATTGCCATTTCCCAGATTTCCAGCTTTCAACAATCAAACGTGCTTATTATGGAAATTATGCAAGTCAGGCAAAATCATGGAATTTGTTACTTTTTCTTTGCATGTGTGACTGTGTATACCACAATAGAAAGCAATGGAAAACTATTGTTTCCTGGGTCTTCTTCATTTGTAATGCAGGTTGCAATGCTGGCTGGTGGCTTCCATATTAGTGGGTCAGTTGAGTTTGCTCTTGATTTTAGATCAGACTTTAAAACACCAACTAACTTGCTTAAATCAGTCACTTTTTTTTTTTTTGGTCGTGTCAGAGCAACCAGTCCATTATATATTACATTTCTAACAGAACAAGCAAACAGACAGAAAAATACACAACTTGTGAGTTTGGTAGTTGGTTAAATGTCCTTTGACCAGTATCTGGCCACTTGGAGTGCCTCTGGTGTTGCTGCAAGAAGGTCCTCCATTGTGCATGTGGCAGGGCTCAGGTTGCATTGCAGCAGGTGGTCAGTGGTTTGCTCTTCTCCACACTCGCATGTCGAGGATTCCACTTTGTGGCCCCATTTCTGAAGGTTGGCTCTGCATCTCGTGGTGCCAGAGCGCAGTCTGTTCAGCGCCTTCCAAGTCGCCCAGTCTTCTGTGTGCCCAGGGGGGAGTCTCTCATTTGGTATCAGCCATTGGTTGAGTTGCTGGCTTTGGGCTTGCCACTTTTGGACTCTCTCTTGCTGAGGTGTTCCAGTCGAGTGTCTCTGTAGATCTTAGAAAACTATTTCTAGATTTAAGTCGTTGACGTGCTGGCTGATACCCAAACAGGGGATGAGCTGGAGATGTCTCTGCCTTGGTCCTTTCACTATTGGCTGCTACTTCCCGACGGATGTCGGGTGGTGCAATACCGGCTAAGCAGTGTAATTTCTCCAGTGGTGTAGGGCGCAGACACCCCGTGATAATGCGGCATGTCTCATTAAGAGCCACATCCACTGTTTTAGTGTGGTAAGATGTGTTCCACACTGGGCATGCATACTCAGCAGCAGAGTAGCACAGCGCAAGGGCAGATGTCTTCACTGTATCTGGTTGTGATCCCCAGGTTGTGCCAGTCAGCTTTCGTATGATATTGTTTCTAGCACCCACTTTTTGCTTGATGTTCAGGCAGTGCTTCTTGTAGGTAAGAGCACGGTCCAGAGTGACTCCCAGGTATTTGGGTGCGCTGCAATGCTCCAGTGGGATTCCTTCCCAGGTGATCTTCAGAGCTCTGGATGCTTCTCTGTTCTTGAGATGAAAGGCACATGTCTGTGTTTTAGATGGATTAGGGATCAGCTGGTTTTCCCTGTAGTAGGCAGTAAGAGCACCTAGAGCTTCGGAGAGCTTCTGTTCTACCATCTCAAAGCTCCCTGCTTGAGCAGTAATGGCACGATCATCAGCATAGATGAAACTCTCTGTCCCTTCTGGCAGTGGCTGGTCATTTGTGTAGATGTTGAACATGGATGGAGCAAGCACGCTCCCCTGAGGCAGGCCATTCTTCTGTTTCTGCCATCTGCTTCTCTGGCCCTGGAACTCAACAAAAAAGCTCCTGTTTTGTAGCAGGTTTCCTATGAGGCGGGTGAGGTGGTAGTCCTTTGTGATATTATACATTTTTCTCAGGAGTAGGCGGTGGTTCACAGTATCATAGGCTGCTGACAGGTCTATGAAGACAGCTCCTGTGATCTGCTGCCTTTCAAAGCCATCTTCTATGTGCTGAGTCAGGTTCAGCACTTGCGATGTGCAGCTTTTGCCTTTCCTGAAGCCAGCTTGCTGTGGAATCAGACATGGGTCTATTTTTTCCATAATTCTATGCAAAATAAGTCTCTCCAGAACTTTGTAGAGGTGACACAACAGGGAGATTGGTCTGTAGCTTTTTGGGTCATTACGGTCTTTGCCTGGCTTCAAGATGGCGATGACTCTTGCTTTCCTCCAGATTTTGGGAATCTGACAGGATGCCGTGCAGTTGTTCATCAGCTCCAGCAGCCAGCGCCTTGCTTTGGGACCAAAGTTCTTGATTTGTTCCATCCGTAGATCATCCAGGCCAGCTGCTTTGCCATTTTTACATTTATTGAGAGCCATGTCCAATTCAATAGATGTAAAGGTTCATGGAGGTTGTTGTTCTCAATCTCTGGTTGTCTGGCTATTGGTTTCTTTCCTACTTTGGTGGCAAGGTTGGGTTTCCCATTCTTCAAGAGTTGGTGTGCTATCTGATCTGCCTTTATGTTGGCATGGGTATTAGTTTGTGAGGGGTCATTGCTCAACCGTCTTAGCAGCCTCCACGCCTTCTGGCTGCTCCTGCCCATGTCGACCTCTGTGATCAGCTTGATCCACTGTTCTTTCTTGGCTTCAGAGATGGAGGACACAATGCTCTGCGCTGCCTGAAGGGTCTGCTCACTAAATGGGTCTTCGTTGTGGAGCCTGTAATAGTTTTCCAACAAGGCAACTGTTTCAGGGGTAATGCCCTGAAGGTAGTTGGTTCTGCAGTCTCTCGGTATAGAGGCCCGTGAGCAGGTTTTCACGATTTCAATAAAGTGCTCGTATTCCTCAGGGATTGGCGCGGCCGATGTGATCATGTCATCTAACATGTCTGAGAATTTAGTCCAATCTGCCTTTCTGAAGTTGTATCTTCGTTTAAATTGAACTTCCTGAGGCCTTATTGTTGGGAACAGTTGGCATACTATTGGTCGGTGCTGTGTGTTTGGAATTGGTGGTCCCACTGATTTAGTGCATTGTTGTACAATGCTGTCGCTCACAAATAGGAGGTCTGGGTTATAACCTCGGTGCCAATCAGTCACTGAAATGGGTTTAATACCTTGGCTAACTTCTTTAAAGAGTAGACCAAGCCCCAGAGGAGATTCATCACCCTACTGGCAGCATGAGGGCCACCAGCAGAGGGAGATGAATCTGCTGCACCAAACGCTAGACTTCTACTGCCCCTGAAATACATGCCTCCCACCACCACCACATCGCAAGTGTTGAACCTGACTCAGCACATAGAAGATGGCTTTGAAAGGCAGCAGATCACAGGAGCTGTCTCCATAGACCTGTCAGCAGCCTATGATACTGTGAACCACCGCCTCCTCCTGAGAAAAATGTATAATATCACAAAGGACTACCACCTCACCCGCCTCATAGGAAACCTGCTACAAAACAGGAGCTTTTTTGTTCAGTTCCAGGGCCAGAGAAACAGATGGCGGAAACAGAAGAATGGCCTGCCTCAGGAGAGTGTGCTTGCCCCATCCATGTTCAACATCTACACAAATGACCAGCCACTGCCAGAAGGGATGGAGAGTTTCATCTATGCTGATGATCGTGCCATTACTGCTCAAGCAGAGAGTTTTGAAATGGTAGAACAGAAGCTTTCCGAAGCTCTTGGTGCTCTTACTGCCTATTACAGGGAAAACCAGCTGATCCCCAACCCATCTAAAACACAGACATGTGCCTTT